GTTTTTCCAAGAGAAAATCCTTCGGTAGAGGAGAATTACTCGGGAAAAATTCCCAAGACAACTTCGCGAGATATCCGAGACCTTGGGATAAAATTGAGAAATTTCTTCACCTACATATTCATTGGAGAGGGAAAAAATATTTATTGAATGAAGCTTATCACGAGAATACCGTATCACAAGATTTCTTATCTGAATAATCGACGGATGTCTACCTTTAGGCATCCATGAAGGAACTCGAAATGAAACTAACACTTGCTTCGTAATCGAACACCAAATACATATATTGACGTTCAAACGAAAGTAATACCAAAAAGTGGTAAAAAGAAACAATAAAGTATGATATTCTTAATTTGTCGCGTATATGTGATTTTTGGATCGATCGATGGACAAATCGAAACAAAACGAAAGAGAGATATACAATGAAAAGCACGATGAGAAAGAAAACGTAACCGAGTGAAAAACACACTCTATAAGAGTGGCTAAAAACCGAAGATAAACGCTCACGTCGTTTTGTGACATTATTCGTTTTTTCAAATAGGCGCATTTACGTAAGCATTTTACTTACTCGAACGTTAATCGCAAATCGAGCCAACCGAGTCTGCGATCCTAAGAAAATACGAAAGAGAAAGAGAGACAAAGGAAAAAAAAATCGGCGTGCCCTTCTCTCTCTCTCTCTATATATATATATATATATATATATATAATCATATTTATGGTCTCTTGCAGACTCTCATTAATACAAATATTAATTAAGATTATATATATATTATATTATATATATATATATTCTCGATTTAACAGTGTATGATCGATCGTTTTCATTCGGGGGGTCGCAGACGACGGTTCGCCACACGATCCACGGGGCCCTCGATTTCTCGATCGAACGACAAACTCACCTCGTGCGTGATCGGCGTGAAAAGCTTCGCCGCCCCTGAGAATCTTCTGTGTATTATTTCTAACAGAATGTAATAAAGTATGGTTGAAAAAGAGGAATAACACCAGCTTAATCGACCTTCTTCATTTCCATCTCCATCCTCTCTGTTTCACTGTGACCGAAAAAATTTAAAAACAAATTTATCTTAATACATAGTTGATACTTGACGTCAAAATCTTTAGCGCTTCTAAGAATCTTTTGCGTATTACTTCTAATACAATATGTATAATAAATAGATGTCAGCTCTGTGTATACTTACAGAAAATTTCATAGTGCAAAGTTAGTAATTCAGAAAAATAAAAATGTATCCCAAATTCATGAAAAAGGAAAGTGTATATATAGGAAACTCTGTACGTGCCACTTCTTAGTTTTAAAGAAAACTCAATGTTCCATTTATTTTAATAGATGGCATAGACAAAAGCCAAGAAACAATTATTATTATTAGCTGACACTTATATTTCTCTTTACACTACAGAGGCGACGTTGGACGTGCCACTGACACCATCTTCTAGCATTATTGATAACTATTTAGAGAGGTTAATTGCGCTTAAATACTATACTATGGTATGGTATGTTAGAACATTTTTCAATAAGAAAAAGCAAATTCTTCAGTTTTACCACTCACGGTGTCTTCTGCAAGTACTCTTCGATCATTGCTGACCGGAGTATCGAGTGAAAGAAATCTCGGGCCAAAAATTCCATAAGAGTATGAATCTACATAAACACTCGTAATCTAGCGACGAAATACCGTTTAAAGAGGAGAATTTAATTGACTCGTCTGTTGTTTTTTGCATCCCCTTTGTTTCGTTGCAATCGACAAAGTTTGAAGTTCACTTGTCTCAATTTCGACTATCAATGTTTTTTGCCACTATGTTGCAAAACAAGAAAAAATGTTGTCTTGCATAAATACCGATAGACGTGGATTACGATTACTTTTGCTCGTGTAAGATATGTATTTGTTAAAGATATTCGTAACTGAAAAACTATTTGGCAAGTGTTGCATAAGTGTTTTTATCGACATGGAACATTTTTACCCGTTGTCCTTGAAATTTTGTCCTTTCAACAGACTTCAAAGTTTCAAGTTGTGTAAGTTAGATAACCATGGGATTGACTGATAAGTACGTAATTATTATATACTATCGGTCGTATCAAGTAATGAATCACAGATATATCCCATTCGGTTTCGATCATTTAACAATGTGACGCCTCATTCATTAGCACAACAAAATTTCGTTTAATCGCGTGATAATGAAAATCTAATCTAAAATCTCTTGTACATACCATACATATGATACATACACACATGATAAAATTCGACGATGAATGATCGATATTGATATCGACCGATTTATCGTTAATCTCTCGTGTTAAATAAGTTTTCGAGATCTATAAAGAAACTACGCTATATTGGTTTGTCAATCGTAATTTCTTGTAACATATTAACGAAACGCTAAGTCTGCAATCCTCTATGATATACACTATTAGTCAGAAATTTTAAGATATTTGTAGCATGTGTATTTGGTATCAATCGAATGTTTGTCGTAGCTCTCATTTTTAATTACTTCGCAATAAGTCTACTATTTCATCCGCGTGATTTGTGCCTTATGGCATAATATATGAGATAAAATAAAATTTGTTAGATTTGTCCAATAGATATAACGAGTCTATATATGTAGTGTATATATATGTGCTAATATTTATAGTCGATAGCGCGTATACATGTTTCGCCATATAACTAAAATAAAATTTTCTTGGATAACTATTCGCAGGGATAGCAACAACAATAAATAATTAACGCTCGATGATCATAAAAGTGAATTGGAATAGAGATAGAACAGAATTTAAGTCGAAGCGAGGGACACATTACATATAACGGGTATCGTTATGTTCATTAATTATATCAATAATTGTTAATTACATCCCAGTGTTGATTTCAAAATACAGCGAACGATTCATCTTCCGCCTTTCAGGACAACACACGCGTCTTTCACTAACTCTGCAAAGATAAACGGTTTCTGGATAAAGCAAATAATTTTATCTGTAATACTACTGGACACGCTACCTCTCCCGAGGTTATCTTGGCAATAGGAGTTATCGTGGAGACTATGGAAGTCATTTAATCATATGTTTTCCTTGCTGGGAAATCAACCGATTCACTGAGTGATCCGCTGCAAAATAGAAATTGATCTATCGTGCATAAATTGCGCGGCGCTCTTCCGACTCGGGCAGTTTCTTCGTATCTCTGGATTCGCGCGAGTGTCACGTTAATAATTCGTTAGAAATCCGTACTTTCAACGTACAAAACGGTAATTTGTTTGAAGTCTTGTAAATTATATGTGCAGAGTGCGGATTTTTCTGCAAATTTATATTTTTATGGACGCCATATAGATAAATAGAAATAAAATAGAAATTTGTTTTACTTAAAATTGAAAATTAATTAAAATGAATGAATTGATTGAAGATTAATTAATTAAAAATTATAACGGCTATTTAACTAAGTATCATATATTTTTGTATAATAGCGCATTTTCGCACCTTAAAATTTCCTGTACACGCATGAAAATTCGTACTCTATACGTGTATACGGTGAATTACAGTAGCTCACGAAAATATTCGTGAGCATTTATAGAAATTTCCTGTGAATATATTACATGCGAAATGAATATATTATACGTGTTTCGAAATATTTTGAAATTGTTTGAATACTGTAATGAGATTCAACTATCATAACTGTATTATTAAAATTTGAAACAAATTGAGAAATGTACATACAGAAGCCACGAAGTATTTAGTGCAAATATGTATTTCGCAGAGATCACCAAAGTACTTAAATTATTCATTATATTAATTATATCAATTATTCATTATATTAATAATTCATTAATAATCGCCATCATCGCGATAATAAAATCATTAATAATCTAGTGAGACCACCTTTTACCTTATAACGATTTATAATATGTACTAATTTTTTACTGAATATATGTTTGCAATGAATAACCTGTAACTTCTATAGATATTTTTAAATTAGTTTCATAATTTTCCAAGGTACAGTATTAATGAAATGCCAAAATGTCTTATTAATGTCTAATTAAATGTCTTATTTAATTTACAACACACATATATACAATATATACACAAAAGTGGCAAGAGTTTAAATATTTCCGGGAATCATTGTATATTGTAAATTATATCGAACATACAGGACTTGTTAAATGCAAAATTAATTTCGCATCCGGTTTCAGAAGACACCATGGCTCAAAAAATGATCTGTATTGAGGACTTCGAGAAATATGCTAGCACGCATTTAACACCTTCTGTCAGAGATTATTACAATTCTGGGGCGGGCGAGCAGTTCAGTTTACAGCTAAATAAGGATGCTTTCAAAAGGTATTTAAAAAATAATAGTTTATCGTTAAAAGTGAATTTAAATGCGGAGCAGTTAACTTATATTACTATTAAGACTGTATGAAAAGGAATGATTATAAAATCGAAACTCTTTCGTCATTCTACTCTTTTCAGTCTTGATATTGTTCGTATAATTTGGACACTTTCTGTAAAAATTTAAAGATCTTTTATTTTATGAAACATCTAATAGAACTAATTGAACAATGAAATTAAACAATGAATTAAACAATGAAAATTTCTAAATTCACTATAAAATTAATCTAAACTACCAATTGCTCAACCAAAAAAATGCGAGTTGATCTCGTAGATCTAATCTATTCTCTAATCTTTTTAATTAAAAAAAAAATGTAACATTTTACAGATACAGGATAAGACCAAGATTTCTAAGAAATGTTGCCAAGAGGGACTTAAGCACCAGGATTTTAGGTGAACAAATCTCGATGCCATTGGGAGTCGCACCAGCAGCTATGCAACGTATGGCGCATCCTGAGGGTGAATGTGCAAATGCAAGAGGTAAATATTACATTTTAATATTAATTATGATAATGTCCCACTATGAGTTTCCCTATTTTTCTTGTTTTTTAAATAATCTCAGTATCTTATATGGATACGTATATTTAATCTCTAAATACTAAACACATTCATTATATAACATATATAGATTTAGTAAAAATGTTTATTAACTTATGCAAATATTTTACAAAAATAGTTGCAATCACAAACGCGTGTTGTGTTCGGTTAGTCAGCGACGATCACATTCGAACTTTTCATGTTTGTAAAATGTTACAACGTAGAGCACGGTAAAATTGAATAAACAAGTACATGATTTCCTATAAAATAGATAATTTTTTTGTTTGTTTTAATTTATTCGAGTCTGTACAGAAATTAAATTGTTGTCTTTTCATTATTTAGGTACAAATATATATAAAAAATCGCATTAGACTGTATAAAAAGTTAAATGCTCGGTAATTCATTATATATGCAATAAGATGATATGTTTGCAGGCATTGTCACTTGTTTAAAAAAGTCACTTATTATTGCTTAGCCGTGTTTCGATTGTAGAATTTTTTATTTTATAATTGTACAGGAAACAATTTATTCGTCTGCCGGTTCGGTCGTACATTATAATAGTATATTCTATTTCAGTCGAAAGAACTTAATTAGCTCCTTGAGAAATTTGGCAATAAAGAAATTTTTTCTGTCGATCAGTCCGTTTGTAACCCTTAAATATATACTGTATTAATAAAAAATAATCCATAATAGATAAAAATTGAGCTTTGAAGCGAAGTTACTTTATAAAGTAATCATTATAATTATGAGATATATTCGTATATATTCTAAATGCAGCTATACGTTTAAGGCACAACAGAGGATTCGTACAATATTTACAGTGATAGAAATGCGTCAAGAAATGCGTTACCATGGAAATACTGTAAGGACTGCTTTAAAAAAAAGAGTAATATTATCATCGTGTTGTATTATATAAATAAAGCTCGCAAATCTCAAAATTCGTATTTTGATGGATACAAACTGAACTCAAATATTACGATTTTAGATGACTAGTTAATAAAAATGGAACATAAGTTTATATACATATACATATAATTAAACATCAGACGTTTAGAGACTAAGAAAGTTACGGCAATAAAAGGCAGAGGAATTAATGTCGTTTGGGTCCCACGTTATCCCAGTTATTAATAGCTTTCATATTTACTTTCTCGATTCTCCACTTTTGTGTAGCAGAAGACGAATCACATTTCGCTGCAAAGACTTTTTTGCTTGCTGGATCTGTGTCCAAGCACCTCGACGTATAACCGTGCATCAGCCATTGTTTTTCAACGTTGTAACGCCATAATTGATTTCCTTGGCCTCCATGGCAAGGATACAAAGTGACTGGAGCCTTTGCACCTCCTCTAGAAACATCCAAACATTCTGTACGATCCTTTGGCCTAATGTCTTTATGCCAAGTTAGTTTGAATTCTTGTTCTCCTATAATTTTGGGATTATCCTTTATGCAGGTATCAACTACAACAAGTTCGTCCTTTTTTCGCTTTTTTGAGTCTAGGCACAGTTCTGGCACACCCATGTTACGAATTTCTCCAGATGCAAAGTCGTCAGGCTCGACAGGAGGGTACACATCGACAAGATCGAAAGCTATGTTTTCCATAAACCATTTGAATGGTTTACAATGTAATCTAGCTCTCAAATCTCTTTGCTCTTTTAAGTTTCCAGGATTCAACGACCTCAAATGCGGACGTCTTGTATAGATATATTCTGCATATTCATCCATCCATACTTCTGCTACTCTCTTATAATTCTTTCCCAAAAAGTCTCCCTTTCCTGGATTAGGGAAAGGTGGGAACTTTCTATAAATATGACCTACTCTTGAACAAGGGGCATCGTACATTTGACCTCCACATTGCCATATCTTAAACGATAGCTCATACTGTTCACCTCCCCATATATCTAATTCTGGATCATATCCACCTAGTTCCCAAAAGAATTTTGCACTAATGGCAAACAGACCACCTGCCATTACTGGACTTTTAAATGGCTCTGTTGGGTTTTGAAGATCTTCAGGTAGCAATGGCAACCGTTTGTAATACAATTCCCAGTCAAAAGCTCCTCTTGCACCCTCATCTTGAGCTCTGTATTCGAACGTCTCATAAGCTATCACATCAATAAAAGGACACACACAAGTTTTGTAATCCTGTGCAATGGGTTCCAGCAATGGTGGTAACCAATTGACATTTGCTTCACTATGAGAATCCAAAAATACAAGTACTTTTGCTTTTGCAATCTTTGCTCCGGCTAAACGACCTTTAATTAAACCAGAACGCTCCTCTAGTCTTACAATTTTCACTTTTGTCAAGTGTTCGGTTATATAATCCTCTAAAGGCTTTTTCAATTCTACCTTGGTACTAGCATCATCTACCAATATTATTTCCTTGAGGAGAAACGCTGGTGAACGATTAATCACACTCCAACAAGTTCGCATTAGAGTGCTAAAATGTTCATTATGGAAGGAAACTATCACAGAAACTGAATCAAGATTTCTTAAATATTTCTTTTTCTTACAGTCTGGATGCCTAATGTCAGGTACTGAGCGATTCATTGAGATCTCATCGCTGAGCGCAGCATTAAAACCATTTACCTGATACAACTTTTCCTTCAATGCATCGAGAGATGGTGATAGAAATGCTGGCTTTCCATGTTCACCTATACCGGTTCTTTTCCTGTCTTCTTCAATTGTCTTATAATCATGCCAGTCTATCTTTTCATCCAAGTCCTGTTAAAAATTTTATTCAAACATTATATCGTGGAATTAAATTCCATCTTTAGACTAGAACTACCAGACTAATCAAAATAGCCTTCTTCATACAAAATTTTGTGAATTTACAACTGTATATTTCCTGTGATATTTGTTTGTTTCCTTGCATTATATATCTTTCAAATTGATTTCTTTGATACACAAACCTTATACTTTAATCATTGGTAGTTCTAACATTAATATAAAATAATATAATTTACATCAGGGTTCACGAAAGTGATGTACGCTACTGCGTGGAATGCAGAAGGCTAAGCTATTGCTAAACCTGTTTTACTTGCATCAGCCTTGTCAATAATGAGTAGGTCTTTAACCCATACCTGATAAAAATGGTTGAGATTCTGCCTAGAATCGACGAAATTTTTCTGACTGTCACCTTCAATGCCCACCAATACGGTAACTGGTGTCACGATTTCATGGTTAGGTGATGTTCGTACATAGCGGAATATGACGACGGTTAGGAACACGGTGAGAACCGCCAGAAGGAAGAACTTTATCAGGCTCACAACATTTCTTCTCATCATCGTGATACACTCATGTCGCGTGATGACACTTATGAAATCCCGCTGCCAGCCACTGGCTTTGTGAACTATCTACACGAAACTAACCTCATGTATATGCATTTGCTTACAGCTTATCAGTTGCTATCTTCGATGTGAGACATTAGTGTTGGATAAATTTTTGTGATAAAACACATGGAGTAGACACGGTTGCCACGCGTCGACTGAGGATCGATCCTTCAGGATCGAAGCAGTTCTCGATGACCGAATGCATTCGATATATTTGAAAACATACATCCTGTAGTAGATCGCTCATTTATATCTCTAACATGTTGACTGTCACGCGAATTTTCGAAATGCACTGAAATATATAACATTTCATTTTATCTAATTATATCGTGTTTACGAACTTTTTCTCTGATAATTCATTCAAATTGAAAAAGAACATTTTAGTCTATAAAATTTATCTTATCTTAATCATTTAAAAGATTTTTGTAATATAAGTCACCGATGACCACTGTGACGCCAATGTATTAACGTCACTTGTTTAATATTAAAATTGTAACACTCTCATAAGCATAATTTAATCTTAGTGAAAAGCGCAAAAATTTCAATACGAAACACGCTAGATAGAATATTTTCATTCTAATAAAATTGTACGAAATTTAATTTATATGTAATTTAAAAGTTTAAAGTTTAAATGTTTATTTCTAGCTGCCCAGGAAGCAGGTACGATCTACATACTCTCAACGATATCAACAAGTAGTATTGAGGAAGTCGCAGAAGCTGCGCCAAAGGCAATAAAGTGGTTCCAACTGTATATATACAACGACCGTAATGTTACTCTAAATTTAGTTTCACGAGCAGAGCGCGCTGGTTTTAAAGCTCTCGTCCTTACTGTCGACGCACCGCTGTTCGGTGATAGACGTGCTGACATTAGGAACAAATTTTCTCTTCCAACTCATCTGAGGTATTTATTATACCATACCATAATAAGATTTTAACATATATAAAATATAATTGTACAATAAAATATGAAAATATATTTTCAGATTAGGAAATTTTGAGGGAGAGTTATCCAGTAAAATAAACAATGCCAAGAGTGGCTCTGGTTTAAGCGAATACGTTATGAACTTGTTTGATGCTTCCTTGACCTGGGAAGACATCAAATGGCTGAAAAGGTTGTTAGAAAGTTTGATGATTTGCAATTGTAAAAATTAGGAGACGTACTAATTCAATTTATTCCCCGTAGTATTACAAAGCTGCCGATCGTTTTAAAGGGAGTTCTTACCCCACAAGATGCACTGTTAGCCATCGAAAGTGGAGTATCAGGAATCATCGTTTCAAATCACGGCGCCCGACAAGTTGACACTCTTCCAGCAACGGTTTGTTATTTATTTTTTTATAAAGTATATCTTTTGACGTTGTATTATAATATTGTAGAACTATAAATAAAATCTTGAAGTATAAAATAAAATGTTTAAAGATAACAATAGTTAATAATAATACTGAAATAATAAAAATAATGTATGATTTGTAGATTGAGGCATTGTCAGAAATAGCGGAAGCTGTAAACGGCAGAATAGAGATCTATATGGATGGAGGTGTGAGGCAGGGAATTGATGTTTTCAAGGCACTTGCTCTGGGTGCTAAAATGGTAACTATATATCAAATTGCAATATAAGTCATGTAAATCCTATAATTGCTCAATTCTTATTTTTGCATGATTTCTAGGTTTTTGTTGCCCGGCCTATGCTGTGGGGTCTGTCTTACGGTGGTGAGGAAGGTGCAAGGGCAGTTCTTGAAGTCTTCAGGAAAGAAATTGATGTTACATTTGCGTTGACAGGTACGATTAAAGCCACTTTCATGAAATTTCAATACTATCATGGACAATTTTATAAATATTTGGAAATCAATTTGCAGGCTGTGCTAGTGTTCAAGACGTTAAGAAAGACATGGTTCAACACGAATCTTACTACAGCCATTTGTAGTAGAAAGACACGACGTAAAATTGATTTACAATAAAATCCCAGTTGTCGAAAGTCTGTTTAGTCGAACTCGAAGGAGGAATTAGTGGATTTCTAGTATTCGACTGATTGCTATCCGATACGTCTTGTACCGTATCGTATAAATGGATTTTTACTGTAATTATAATAAATTGGTTTAAAGATCATGTTGATTTTAATGAACGTGACATTTAAGATTATCATAAGATTAGGCTTAAAGATAACTTGAGGAATAGTTTAGATTATACGATATGTTTCATACAACAATAACTTCAAGAATATTTTAAAAGCAGTAGGATATTATCACATTCATAATAATAAATATGTTTTAAGTTGATTGATTTTTCTTTTAAGTGAATAATGTACAATACAAGATAATAATAATGTACAATACGAGATAATAATAATGTACAATAAAAGACGAAAATATAAATGTACGTATATTAATGGAAGAATAACACTAGAATTTTTTCTTCACAATATCTGCGTTTTATTGAATATCTCTTGTATATTCATCTGTGTATACATATATGCGTGTGTGCGGCACACATATCACAATTCACGAAGCGTACGTACGCACACACGCATTCAAAGGTGATCCGCAGCTCCTTTGCAAACGGAACAAGATTGACTATTTTGACGTCGATATTATATATATATAACGCACGAAACATGCAACAAAGTACTTGCATCGCTCTCTGTTCAATTCGCAAAATACTCTCTTTTTTTATTGCATTTCTTTCTTTTTCTTAATCCATACCACATCGCATACCGGCAGAGGCAAATTCTCTTGGCAAAAAAATAAATCCCCTTTATCTTTCCGGTATTTCCTATCTCGGTTTAGTAACTCTGATGCCATCATTACACTTGTAATTCTTTTGTTTTTTGTAATTTTTTTTTTTGTTTACTCACAGCTTTACAACGTTACAATTAATCGTTACTCGTATGTATATATTTATAATTTATGTATATATTTATAATATATATGTATATGTATATTTATGTATATATGTATAGTGGCCTCGTTCGCTACAGGTTTTTCTGTTTGCTGAGTATGTACGCTGCGACGCTAAACTTTTACTTTATGTATTAGTATGTATACGCAATGTACACGTGTTTGATAGTATATATACACACATGCACGCCTCCTGTCTGTGTACTGTATATATATATACGTTATATACATGCATACACACGAACATTCGCCTTTCTTCACCATTTTCGTTTCTACAAGCGGTTCCTTGGAACAGAGGGGACACGTTTGCGATTACATACGTATTTTGGGATATAGATCAACGATTTTATAAAAATATAACAACGTTCGACAATTATCGTTATCCTTATGATAATCACTATCTTCTAGATAAGAACGGAATTTTTAAAAATGATCACTGTTCCTCAAACAGAGTTCATTGGACAGAAAATAAAATTCGCTAATCTGTCTTGTGATATATTTCAATTAACGATTCACACGCGATATGATCTATTCTTTTATAAATCGACAGCTCGCAAACATGCATCCTCCGTTTTCTTTTTTTCTTTTATCTCCTTCGATCAATATTACATTATTTGACGATATCAATCCCGCATGCACGGTATACAATTGGCTAATATACGATTACTATAGACACACAGTGTGTTTGTTTGTAAATTTTCAGCGGTATATTTTACTGCTCGTGAGAACTTCGTGAAGAATGATCGTTCGAATTCTTGTCGAATGGCGTCTCTCAAGGAATCCAGACGCGGCGGAGAAACTTACTTTCACGATAAAGTGGTGATTTAGGCGACAGTACATTAGTAAGTTAGTGTAAAATTCATTGGTCCAGAGAGTTATGTGTGTTTCGAGAGGGCCTTCGTCTCCCCTATCGCTCCGATTCTTTCTTTCTCTTTTCTCTTTCTTCTTTTTCTTTTTTCTTTATTTTTTTTTTTGATTTTCCTTCGAGTAAGGGTTCGAAACTGGAAACATGAAACATCTTTTAAACCAGAAGAGGAAATGTTTTATTTTCTTTTGATATTCTTAAGCTTGTCGAAAATTTTTCAACTGTCACTGACAGACTGGATGATTTTTATTTTTCTCTTTTTTTTCGCTCTTCTCTCTTGGTAACTGAACTTGATGGAACAATGTGGTTGCTTTAACGTGACTGATATATTTTTTCTTCTCGGCCTCTCGATGCAAAAATTCGGTGATCAGAGAATAACGTCGTTGCTCGATATCTTGAACGAAAATGTATCAAGTACGAAGAAACAACGTCCCTTTTTATTTCCGTTGTCTCTTTCTATCTCGATCGGTCGGATAACGGTTATTCGGATCGATGAAAACGATCCTATAACCGAACCGTCGACCGATCGATCGGAAAGACAATTTCCCTCTGGAGAAATCGCGGGGATGAATGGCTCTTCGATTCGGTAACGAAGCGCGACAGTGTAAAAATGTTTTTAGAATATCTTTTGCGCAGTTTACACGGAGGAAATTCGAGTCTTATACGTATATCGTGTTTGCGAGTGAGACACGTGGTACAATTACTGCTTGGTGTGATTTGCTCATGGTTGTGCGATTTCTTTTTAATCTACCTTAATCGAAAATACGGAAAAAGAAAGAAAAAGAATGTATTAGAAACGTAGAACGTTTTTCAAATTATACGAATGATACATAAGCCGCTCAAATGCCATGATGATCAATACCATAAAATAAGAGAAAACATTGCAACTTTAATCTCTAGAGGTTACACACGTTGTTTTTTAAAATTCATCCTAAGTATCTTAGACTTATTTATCTGCCATCTTTCTCGTTTGTTTCTCTTTTTTTTAATTGAACAATAATTACATGTACGATATATGAAAGCAAAGTAATCGAGAATTTCGCAATTGACCAGCTCGGCCTATAAGCGGCTTATAGTATAACGCTTAAGTATAATGAAACGGTAATAAAAAAGAGAAAAGAATTAATGAAATATACGATGTATAATGAAATTTCCTCGTCATCGTATGACAATAGCTTCAAGTACTCTGAAAGGGGATAAGAATAAACAAAGTTAGAAAATATATAATAGCAATTATAAAATACTGCGTAATTTACGATGGTATTAATTAGCCGACGATTTTTCGTTGAAAGACGATAAAAAAAACAATAGCGTCTTCCATAAAATGAAATTTTTCTCGTTCTTAAAATTCTAACAAATTCTTATGAATTCTTGCTAAAGCTGAAGATAACGTCGTCGATTCTGCTATCGCGATATAGTAACAAAACAGAACGCTTATCTTGTAGCTAATTTCTTTGGATTATAAGACCTTGAATATGTAGTCAGAAATTACTAAAAATTTCTCAGTGTATCGAAAAATATTCAGAACGTGTACACCGAGTTATCAGCGAGAATGGCAAATAAATAGCAACGCATTAAACTTTCCTTAACGTAAGCCGTATATCACAGTGTCCTGTTCAAGCGCACGTGTA